ACTAACAAGTTGATACTAATTATATCGGTTACCTGCCTCAACCCGACTCGTATGTCACGTCACTCCCTAACTAGTCATAGACGGTCGCAAAGGGCCTCGACTATTTTTCCACCATGCTGTAACCACATGGGGACGCCGAGCGCATCGACCCGCTGTATACCGTACACCGTGTGAAGAGGGCATCTGCTTTCTGAAAGGGTTGTATTTCTCCACTAATTGAACTGACGCCGACTTACTGGGGAGACAAAATTATATTCTTTCTGCCGTTCACCTCCGCTATAATTCAGTCACCCCAAACGAATTTTTTTTTTAATTAAACTCCTTCCCCGTTAATTGCTACCGACTCACTTGAAGAATGACAAGGAGGTAATTTTTAAGGGCTCGTTCCCCAGGTGTCCCACTCTCCGAACGTTTTATCGACTGTAAACAAAGACTCACGGATAGTCGCTATCTTGTTCCACCCTTTTTTTTCCTTTTTCACATTGCGGCAAACACGAAGGGTTGTTTTTTGATTGGATTCGTATTACATATGAGTAAAAGTACTTGACGAAGCTTTACCAGTCTAAAAATGGGTAAACACATCAACGGGCCCAGTTTCGCGGGTCTTGAATATTCCCATTAATTAGTGTTTCTTTGGGGGTTATATTAGCCAAACATAAAAATTTTCATATGTGGTTTATAATTTAACCCGTTTTTTGGCCAAAAGTTTCTTCGGAGCAATGCCGGCTTTAGCAATTTTGTTTACGGTTAGCAGAAAATCTCTTCATTTCAGGCCGGGCGCAGTTGTTTCTGCTCTGTAGGGAACACTGCTTTTTTGGCGCCAATCTAAACTCACAAGATTTCCCGCCAACCTTTTAATAAAATTGCTTATGTTTGTCTTGTTTTAATAAACATTAGGCCATAAATGGTTAATCATTTTAAACTTATACTTTCTATTTTATTCACTTCTTTAATTCTCAGTTTTTATACAAACTATACAGGATCTTCAAGATTATGTATCAAAAAATGATAGCAGAAACGCGTATGAAAAATAATTTAAATATAAACATATTTGGACCTGAATAAAAAAAAGAACCACTGTTGAAGCAAACATTTAAAAAAAAGAAAACAGAAACTCCATGGATTTTGATTTACAATTTTTATTGATCTTTTTATCCCTGTAGTCAATATTGAGGCAAAATAAATCATCTCGGAAATATAACACGAGGAAAGTACATTAATCCAAACGCATAATTTTAAAGCTTTACGTCCTTTAGATGCATATAATGAAGCTGGAAATGTAATTATAAAGTTGAGAAAGGAAAATTTAGTGTCGCCTGTACGCAGGTGGTACTAGGAAGCTGGGGGGGGGAGCTTAAGAGATAACAAAACAGCAAGTGATCTCACATTTCATTTCGGAGCGAAACGGACCTTTTTCTTATCTCGATGGCCGAAGCTATTAGAAATAAAAGCGAGATTATGCTTATCCGTTAAATAAACTACTTTTCTTTAAAATAAGAGATTTTTTCGGGCAAAGGACTTGTACGACCTCGAAAGACCGACTGGTTTCAGTTGAACAAGGGGTGCAAAGGAGATATGAATGTCGAGGGAAAACTATTGATATTCAAAAGTACCAAACATCGCATTCGTTTGTTTGCTCAAACCGGTGAGTGTTATTTATCTCGACATGACCAAATAAACAAGGGAGGACGCGCCGCCCCACCTCATCCCTGTGGGGAGGTACGATAACAATAGGCCTATAAACAGCTAAAACTTTACACGGTTACCTATGAATAAAGAAATCCAAACAGGTAAGCACTTTCATGTGCCGAAGGGGGAGAGACGTCGAATCGACATCCGTTCGTATGCGTTAACTTAAGCGATGACCGACTTTAATCGAACACCCGGCCAGAGGGATGCCGGATAGTAAGAGCGAGAGTTCGAGAGAGGAGAGCGAGAGAGAGTGAGAAGAGAAAGAGATAAAGGAGCGGTGAGAGGGGGAGGGGGCGGAGATAAATAGAAAAGCCTGCTATAATGGTTCTTTATACCTGGTCACATTCAACCTTCCCAAAGGTACCACAATACAGCCCTTTGAAAAGATGCCATTGTCACACATCCCGCTCTTCCCAAGCAGATGTTAAGTCTTCACACGGTAAAAACAATTAAACAGGGTGTCTCGTAGGGGAAATATTCAAAAATTTTGCACCAACGTGCGCAATGATGAAACATGTGCTGGTTCGCAACACCCGGGCATATATAAATTTTCTTACATAAAATTACCCCTCATGAATAATAATTCGTAGAAATGTAATGAAATACAAGGTCAAATATTTGGACAGGGTGAAAATTTCAGCGTAACCTACTATTGTTGATGGGTGTTGGTCTACGAGTCGGTGAACTCATGCTGAACCGAACAGTGAAGAACTTCGAACCTAAGCTCTAAAACTTAACTGTTAAAATATATAGAATTACTCGATTTGTAACGTAAAAACATTTCATTTTGCTAGCTAATAAAATCAATTTCCCATGGGTAACCTGGAAGCAACCTTCCTTCTTTCATTTTGCTAACCTATAAAAAATTTCGACGGGTAACCTAGTAACTACTACCTGTTTTCATTTTGTTAACCTATATACTAAATAATGTAACCTAGAAACAACCTCTCTGTTTACATTTTGGTAACCAATAAAATATAATTTCCCACGGGTAACGTAGAAGCAACTTTCCTGCTTTAATTTTGTTAACCTATAAAAATGGCGGCGAATAACCTAGTAACAACCTACCTTTTCCTTTCATTAACCTACAAATATACAAGATATGTAACCTAGAAGCAACCTTTCAGTTTAAATTTTGTTAACCTATAAAAATGGCGGCGGGTAACCTAGTAACAACCTACCTTTTCCTTTCATTAACCTACAAATATACAAGATATGTAACCTAGAAACAACCTTTCAGTTTACATTTTGCTAACCAATAAAATATAATTTCCCACGGGTAATCTAGAAGCAACTTTCCTGCTTTAATTTTCTTAACCTATAAACATGGTGACAACCTACCTGTTTACATATTGATACCTTATAAATAATGTAGATATGGAACCTAGTAACAACCTCTATACATTTTGCTAACCTATAAAAATTGTCGATGAGTAACCGAGAAACAATATCAATAAAACCCTAATCTCTCACGGGTAACCTAGAAGCAACCTTCCTGTTTTCATTTTATTAACCATTGAAAAATGGTGACGGGTCACCACATAACAATCTCTGTATACGTTTTGTTAACCTACACAACTGCTCGATATGTAACCAAGAAACAACCTCTCTGTTTGTTAACCACCTACCTGTATACATTTTGTTAACATATGAATGTACTCAATAATATTTAAGGTTAACCAAAGCGAAAAAACCATACTTCAATCATTCGACGGACTGAGCTATGTAGAGCGTATGGTATCTGAGTATGAAAATGGCGATTTTATTTCCCAGTGGTTTTAAATATGAAATTCTCCGACACGCCGAACGCCTTGTGACAAATTTAAGAAATGCCTTAGACCTTCCGTTCCTCGATCTGCGTGCAGATAATAGAAAAAGAAAGTAGATGACACGGCGATTGACTCACCCACCCGGGTTCTCAATTAGATTGTTGTTTCAAAGGAGGGTAATTGTTTCCAAGAAGTGGCCGGTGGAAAAGGAGTGTCAAGTGCCGGTTGGGGCTGTGAGTGGAGGTCTGTTGCACCCCTCGAACGGCACCCCGAGGGCTAAAGTGAGACTTCTTAAATTCAATCCTCGACAAGGACACTCGAACCGCTTTCACGGGAATATTCGCCCAGATAAGTCCGTATAAAGTCCGATGGAAGGGGGACTTCCCCACAAAATGTTAATACCGCATAAGAAGAGTGGGGAAACTCGGTATCTTGATGGCCAAGTTTGTAAACACAGACCCAGTAGCTTAGAATCATTTTCTGGGTTGTCAAGCAAGAAACTCTATGGGGATTTTCTTCCGTATTTCCATTAGTCTCGAAGAAGGGAGCGATTCTAAATCCCGCCCCCCTCTTTGTTATTAATTTGGTGCACAGGGAATACCAACATGTAAGATTCAGTTGTTCTACTCTATTAAGATGAACATTTTTCAGCCTTCGTCACATTTCGAATTGGACAAATAATATGACAATTGAAAAATACCGCTTGTTAATGTGCAGCACCAACAATCTTCCTTAATTTAAGTGGATATGTTTGGACCTATAGGACGATTTGCCAAGCTTTCGACCTAGTTTAAGGTCATCATCACGGCAAAACAAACTTAAAGATGACTTGATGATTGATTATGAGAGTTGATTAATCATTTCAATTTGTAGACTTACTTAAGATTGTTTGGAGCTGATGATGACCTTAAAATAAACCAAAACGTCTGAAGATAACAATGGAATTTGTTTTTTTGTCCAGGCCTTACTGAGATCAAGTTTAATAAACATTCTATATAAATATAACATAAAATTACAATTTTAACACAGGACTTAAGCAAAAATAGTGTGAACATTGTGTTGTAATTAAGATTTAGGCTGGCCAGAGTTTCAAGTTATTAAAATACCTAAGAAACCCAAAAGTTCCACTTTAATGGCATACATATAGAACGAGAGTCGGTTTAACGTTGAAAAGCCGCTTCCGTCATAAAGACTTGTATTAAAAGTACTATAGCCTAAGTTTTGTGCGATTTGTTGGACAAAGAAATTCTTACAACATACGTTTGCAGTTGATCTTGAAGTGACAGGAAATAATTCTTTTGACAAGACTTGAATCAAGACCCAGCAAATAGCAATCAGCAATTATAGACTATATATTTTTGGAAGGGCAGTTTAGACTGGCAAGACGTCGAAGGTTCCGCAGGATCTGGAGCGTGCGTTCTCCGGTCGGACGACGTCCCGGAGTTATTAATATTACGTAACGAGGGCCGGGCCCAAGGAAATTGGTTCATTAAGCTAAAGCAGGCTATTAACATGCGAGTCTTAATCGAGGGTACGTGCCTTGATCTGAATGATCCAGTTGTTGTGATGCGGACACTTGAGAGAGAGGTCCGGGAGTCCCACCTGACCCAGGAGACCTGACATCGTCGTTCCCGTGACCGGGATACGAAAGCGATGAGGAAGGAGGCCGCTGAAAAAAAATTAGAAACTTTATAAAAAGAAGGTATATAAACAATATAAACTGATTCTATTAGTATAAGATATAAGTATGTAACTGAGGATATTGTTTCTACGGCAGAATAAAGATTTCGGCCACACCGATGTCATGATTTATAAACAAATTAAAGAAAATCATGCTGGCATGATCCAGCACATTATGTTCATATTTTTAAGAAGAACGATTAATTTTTTTTTAAGGAAAACCTACTTTCTATGTCCAACACTCGGTATGTCGGGCTTTTGTTTTATTTAAGAAAAAAATAATTAGAAACCCATTTTCTCATTTCCTAGCCCACCTGGGCACGATTGACCTCTACTCATGCTCAATTCATCCTTTCAAAAGACTAACGAAACCCTTTAAGATGCTTGAGGTAAATGCACGTCCTTGTTAGAAATTTAACGCTTAACATTCAGCCCAACGCTCTCCCAGGTATACGTGAGTTTGGCTGGTAAACTGGCGAGGAGGAAAAGGACTCTTTTATTTTAAAGGTTCTTTCACTAAATACATAAATACTAATGACTTCAGACTGTTTTAAACCAGGAGGAACCTCTTCCTTGTTTTGCAATATTTCCGAATTGTAAACTTTATATATATTAAACAATAAAGACATATATTAGTTTATTACTAATAAATATAATCGATTGGTCTATCCTGCAGTCAATAAAACAATTTTAAACAGCCAAAAAATTGTAATTTGGACCAACGTTTTGGGCACTTATGGGCCTTTTTTCAAGGTACAAAACGTTCTGAAAATATGAAAAATAATTGTTTCCGTCATAACCTCATTAATAATGGTACGCATTAATATTACGATACGTAAATACATGTATATTAATATTACGGTGAAACTGACTGTTATCTGTGGAAAAGAATACACCAACACACATTTTTTGTAAATAATAAACAAGATTGCGCTGACTTAAACAATTGTAATATTCCACGTATATAGGGGTCAATTGTAACGACAAAAAGCATTGAGGCCGCATGGAGTACAAACTAGAAATGATGTAGATTTAATGTTCCGGGTGTGTAATATAATGCGCCCTTTGAGAGTTATTGTATCCTCCTATACCTATAGCACACCTAGTTCAAGGACTTGATTAGTAAGCTCGGTTTTAGTGGTTACGTTGTACATTCCAGAACTCATCCTCCTAAAGTTTGTTAGTAGGTGTGATGGTATCTCTGGCTATTTTGCAGATTCTGCACGTGCCGTATTGTGTTATACCAATCTTCTTCCGACGCCCATGTCTGGAGCGTGCTGTTAAGTATCCCGTCAGGATTCAACGTTTTTCCAGCCTCTTTTGAGGCATGCTATTATTCCTTCCAAAATTTACTAGAAGGTTCTTGGATTGTTTATGTCCAATAAATTCCACGGTTTCTCCACTTTCATCCTTCGTCACAATACTAATTCACAGAGTGAATCCCTATGCCGCACTCTGTTTAATTATGGAGAACTAAGGATCAGAGGTATAGCAGCTTTCCTTGCAAAAGCGTCCGTCCGCTCTCTCGCTGCTCTCTACTCCCACATGTCCTGGGACCTACCAGAGGGTGACTTTATTTTGAATACCTAATTTATTTAGTTTAGTTTTGCAATTTAGCACCATATTTGAGCTAATTATGAGAGCTTAGTGCTTCGATGGCTGTTCAGATGCAGAGTACATCTCTCAATTGCATGGACTTCAGCCTGAAAGTCACTGGTGTATTTTCCCATAGGTCCTGAGCATTTTGTTCCAGGCCACCGTACCTTCCTGCGGTCTAGATCCATCCGTGTAAAAGCAGATGGTGCCGTTCTAATGGAGGGTACTGCCTTTTCGGTGCTGACTTGACCTAGCTGTTGACACCGGGACCATAAGACCGAAATCTCACCCCGGACTGCCTAAACCCCAGCGCGTGATTCTTGAAACCTGCCGGTTGTTTATTGTCAAATTCAAAAGATAGGCTCAACTCTGCACATGTTTGTATGTACGTACATACATGTGCGGATTTGAGCCTACATAAATTTAAATTCAAACTTATATTTAAGCGTAATGTACTTTTGTTTTTGTGTTTTTGTTCATGTTTTCAGAAGGTTTTGTACCTTGAAAAATGGCCCCTTTGAGGCCCGAAACGTTGGTCCAAATTACATTTTTTTTCCATTAAAATTGTTTTATGCTGCAACACCCGCCCAACACTTGTTTGTATTGTAACCAAAGCCATCAACCATGGAGAAATTCTGGATGGATTGTACTTTTGGTGTGTTTTAATATAAAGGGCCAAACTGGTTTGCTATTAAAACTGATACAAATATATATATATGTATATATATATATGTAACATTGTGATGTAAAAGAGGATCGAGCTGAATGGATACGAAGTAGTACCCAAGTAAATGCTAGTTTTACATCACGTCAGCTGCGAAAGCGTAATATAGGAAGTCAAATGAAAAAAGGGACGTTTAAAGTAAAATGATGGAAGGTGAAAAGACCGTGTTGATAATTGCTAATCGACTGGTGGGACTGTCGGCCAAAGAGACTCATTAACTAAAGTAGTAGGTCATTTTGTGTGCTGGAGGCTGTAATTTAGGGTGGCCAGGAGAGGAGGGTGACAGGCGAGTCTGTTATCACTTGTGATTTACACATCATCTGGTAGTTGTGTTGTTTGTAGAAGAGGAAGATAAAAAAAAAGGCTCCGGCCGTTTTCGATTCTTATTCAAAAGGGGCTAAATCCGTCGTTCACCTTGAAAGCATTTCTCCCACGGGCCGGCTATCGATGCCCCGTACATTAATTGCTATCCCAAATGGAATTAGACGTGATGGGGGAAGACAGGTGAATATATTTGCATGTAAATGAGAGATGTAGGCAGAGGGAGGGCTGCGTGGTCCGGATGTACCTAGGGCAAACAGAGATATGGAACATTAGGAAACATGTGTTTGTGATAGTGGATACATTGTTTGTCAGGTAATGTACCGGTTGTGATAGCCGCAGTACGATAAAGGCAGGTAAGAAACTCGTCATATCACACAGGAAGGAGAGGCCCGCATAAAGCAGATAACCCACAGATGCGGGCCTGGCACACCGAACCGATACAAACCGCAATTATTACAGATAAACTCGGACAAACCACGACATCGCGACTGTATACGGAGTCTGTGAGAAAAAGACTGTGGAAGGAAATATCGACTCTAATCTATGATTAAATTTAAATATAAATTAATCCAAATGGAGAGTGGATTGGTAGGCGTGAGCGGCATTCATTAACCGACTGATTGTGAGACAATGGCCCACCGCGTTCCTTCCAACAGTTAAAATACTTAAGACTTTTTACACTCGTTCTGCAGAACTGACAAGTCCAAACTTCATTTCTAAAAAGTATAAATACAAGTCTTTTTCTTCCGACACAAACCATTATAATTCCATTTTGTCCAATTTACGAAAAAACAAGTATTAACTATAAATAAATCAATAAAGGTTATCCAACGGACGGAAAGAGCGCAGATTAAATTTTTTTAACACAGTTAGTTATTAAGTGGTGAAATTGGGTGGACTGATGAACCCTTATCAGCTGTTTGATCAAGATCGCCTCGGGTCCGCCCATTCTCATAACACATCTGCAACCGAAGTTGTTTGGCCGAAACGAACTCTGGACCGACTGGATATACATGACCTCATCGCTGGTTCGTTAAATAAACTGAATTATCGAGGCCTTATTTGCGTACTTTCCCATTCATACATTCAATACACAGACCGACTTCGATTTGGACGTGTCGATGCTGATGCAACTTGGGTCGCACGTAAGTTCCACGTTGCATAAGGACGTCTTGTCACAATACTGTCCACACGTTCACCCTTTATGACCAAATGTTAGAGCAAGACGAACTTTGGCGATGGTGTTAAAGGTTAGTGGGAAACCCCTTGAATTTAGACTGGCGCCAAATAAATCAGTGTTGCCAATAACCAGAAAGAGAGCAGGAAAAACACTAAACTCAGGGGATTGCCTGCTAACCTTAAACAAAATTGCTTGTTGGCATTGCTCCCAAGCAGCTTTGGGCAAAAAAGGGATAAATTATATACTGGTGCATACACCCTAAACTCACAGGACTAGCTTCCCTTTAGTAAATTGGCTAAATTTGGTGTCGCCCTGAGGCAACTTTGGGCAAGAAAGAGTTAAAACCTAATAAGAAAAACGGCACTCATTGCGGTCGACGATTTTCACACCTTCCCTGTTTCGTAGCAATTTTGTCTCAAATCGAGCTGTGCGTTCCCGTGGGGAGGCGATCGAGTGGAATTGTTGTGCAAACACTCGGCCTTCTGTCTAAGTGGAGGATAATGAGAAAATGCCGGGGAGTTATCGACTGTTTGTGGTTAGTAAGTACATTTCCTGAGGGTTGTCTCTACAAAAGAATGATTACTAGGGTTGAGAACAATGGACGTCCACGCGACTCTATTCCCTTGATAATGATCTTGCCATTCAAACACAACAATAACCGTGTCCACGGCTCCGAAACCTCACCCCCTCTACATTATAATTGACTATTTTTTACCCGATCACTGATGTTAAACGTCATAGGAACTGAATAGTAATCCGAACCTCACTACTAGCCCGGGGACATCCGATTTTTTTTTTTTTTGAACTCTCCAACGGGGACGTCGATCGAATCCATAATGATTCTTACAACGCGACTGATACAACGAATACGATTAAACTCAACGAAGCTTATCTCAAATTTTAAATAGACCGTTCTAAGCTGGGAGAACGCCAAGTAATTATTTTCGTCCCTTGAAATTCACGCTTTTAGTTACCATAATTGAACTCACCAAACAGTCTGGACAATAAACAAAAAATTCGAACGAAAATTAAGAATAAAATTGATATTTGTCACGATTTAGAACAGAACAGGCATTAATATCCACGTTTTAAATAAATTAAGTCGAACAACTTCTATTTTACAATGTACTATTCAAGGATGGTTTAACTTTGGACCTTTTTTAAT